ATAATCAAAATATTAACTCCTAATCTTTACATAACCTTTCTTTTAAGTTCATGTTTTCTTTATGGAGTGACTGACTGCATATTTAAAGTTCTGAAGAGTTAATTTTTATTTTTTTTCCTTTTAATAAGCGAATATTTAAAAATAAACTATAGAAACGTTTGCCACTATTACATTCATTTGATTTTTATAATTGATAATTTGTAATATTATTTTACTTTAAGAATAAAGTTTTATATAAGGATATTATATTAAATCAACAGTTTAACTTCAACGGTGCAATTACATAAATATAGTTCTAATAGATTTTAAAGTACATCACACGAGAGCCTTGTAAATGTAAATGACCTAGATTAGTTTTTTTTAAATATAATTTTTGCGAATCATCTGATTGAATTTTTGATGATGATAAATTAAGTGTTTTGATGATAAATATTCTACTTGATTATAGTTTTTTTTTTCTTCCTAACCATATGATGGAACACTGAATCAAAGGACGGAGGTAAGGTTTTTTTGGTTTGTTAAGGTTTATCAAACAGTTAAGTTATTGTCATTAATATTTTTCTTATTATTGTTACGTTTGATGTAAAAGCTAACGAACTTATTGTGAAAAAGGATATACCCATACCAAAAAATATACCGCCCACTGACTAACAAATAGACTCGAAATAATCGGGAAGCCCAGATACCAAATAAACTAGTTCTATGGATAGAATTGGACACTAAAGTGAATAAATAATTTATTATTATTTTTTTTTTATTCATAAATTTTAATTTATATTAATTAATTGATTCAATTTGATTATATAAACCTTCAAGAGCGTGAACTTATTTTTGAATAAACGAGACCGCGCATTGGAGAACTCGGCAGCATTGACGATACGTAAATTTTATCCTTAAGTTGTTCAACAAAACTTGTACATTTGTTTATCACTAAGAGATAACTTATGTTAGACTTTCCATATTGAAACCTTTTGTCACCGTTCAGGAAAACCAGCAATCATAGGGATATTGGTAAATATTTTTAAAATATTTTTCGACCTTTAAATAACATAAGTATTTTCTGTTTCTGATTAGAACCTTTAAATTCATTTTGATCCTATTGCTTAAATTTCTCTATAGGAAATTGAACGCGTTCTCAATTTTTTCAGTTCATTATCGTCTAAACCCTCAAAATTCGATTTGAAAGAACCACTGGTACGTTTTAAGTTTGCGCTCCTCCTTTCTGTCGTACATAAGTTTAAGATTCACTTGAACTGAAGAGAAAAAAAAATTAGTACTAGTAATTATAGGAAAGGAAAAATGAAAGTACTTACAGCTCAAACCAGACAACGGGTATCATACATTTAATGGCTTGCTGTCGGTTATTTTATTGTTTTTGTTTGAATGTGAATGTTTGGTAAAAGTTGGTTGACCTTCAAAGGTGAAGATGAAATCTTGAGGGTCAACATTTTTTAAAGCTTCAACCTTCTTCGTGATAATAGTGTTGAAATTATCTTTAGATATACTGTATCAACATCTTACTTTACGGGACTTGGCATACCTTCAAGAAAAACCCACAAAGTTATTATGGAACTTGAACAAGAAATTGAACGTTTGATCTCGGTAAACTTGCTCTATTAGACATTATTTTTCAACTGTTGTGACAGTACCGCAGGCAATTAATCATTAACTGTGAATTATAACTAAAGCTCAAACTAATTTGATCTGAACTAGGAAAAAGTTTTAATTTTTGATCGCCGGTTCTTGATCAATTTATCGAGTGAAATATTGAGAAAATAATTGTATTTAGAAAATTTATTTCTTTATTAGTTTTATTCGAACCCAAGTATTTGAGAGTACAATTGTCAGATGCTTTATATCGCACCGATATAATATAACAGCACCGACATAATAATTTACCGAGTGGATACGTAAGGTGATACGAAGACAGAACCGTTCGAAATGGAGAGTATTTTCAAATTAGCAAGCGTAAACAAAAAAAAATAAACAACTATATAATTCTTTTTCAAGCTAAGATTGAAACAATGTTAATGTGTGTTAAGGCAACCTTTGTAATATGACTCCAAATTTACCAGTCAAAAAAAGGTGGAATTGACTTATGAACGGAACAAAAAAATATTCAATCAAATAGCGTTCACAATTTTCGAATTAATTAGATAAAGAACCCCTAGCCAAAATTACTGATCTGCAACACGTACCGTACCGGTCTGGCGAATCGTACCGTACCGGTTTTCCATATACTCCCAAAAAAAGGGGAACACACTCTAATAAATTTGTGTAGCTGACAACAAAAAAAATCTTTAATAACCCAGATGAAATTGATTGAAAATTTATGAAATGGAATATTCTCAATTAATGTGTATTGTATTGGACTTTATAGATATGTCATCAGATAACAATGGTCACAGTATAAATTGCACATCTAGAATGTAGTGTAAATAAATCTCCCGAATCGCCAATTAGTTTTTTTCCTTTAATATCCTCGTTTAAAGAAAAGTTTCTCAAAAAATACAGGAATTAACAGAAGGTCAAAAGTGAAGAGTGTTTCTTACAAGGAACTTCCTTATGGTAGTAGAAAATAAGTGGAGTAAAATGGGAGTTTTGTGTTAAGAAGCACCAAGAGACTAGTATATACAAATTCCGGATTTACCGGATTTTTATTTCAAAATCCGGAATTTTGTTATAGAACCGGATATTTATCCGAAACCGGAAAGTTTAAATTTGTCCGGATTTTGGCCGAAACATAAATGTAACATTTTTTTTTCGCTTGTCATAAAAAGGTTTTGTTATTTACATTTTTTATCAAATCTTTTTATTATATTTTATTTATTTATACATTAATCAATATAACTGAAAACTAATTCATATATTTTTTAAAAAAATTCAAATAATTTATATATATTTTAACAAATACAGTAAATCTGAAAATTTTAAATATATCCGGAATTTTTTTTTATGCTAAAGTCTAGTCCAACATTAAAAAAAATACGGTATATATATTATTTGATTTACTTCTCCAACCATGTACCAATTAGTTTTACATTTTTTATTCATCTTAAGAATGTTTATTTAACGAAATTAATTCACATTTTATATCCAAGTATTCTTCTTTTTCGGCATCATCTATCCTCAAATGAATTTCTAGATTATTTGTTTTTTTCAAATTAATAGTGTATTTGCTCAACCGGTGGTTCAAAAATTTCTTGTTTTGATTTTGAGAGCTAAATTAAAACTTCATCATAAATAAATGGATAACGTGTTATTTTTCTACCTAGTGTTTATTAATATTTTTTAAATGTTGTTTGGCGACCGAAAGTCGATAGCTCTGAAAAGAAGGTCATTGACACGCTGTCGCGTGTCAATGGCATTATATTCTAATCATTCGGAGCCTTTTATTAAATTAAATTACCTTTTTAATTAATTTGCTTGCTAACTATTTGTTAGAAATATTACGAGAACAAATCCACTTATTAATATCTGTTAAATAAGGAATAGATATTTTCTTTTTGCTGCAATTTTTTCCATTCACATATTAATTCTTTTCTCTATTTTGTCATTTCACGGTAATCACTATTAGTATTTTCTCTAGATTTTTTTTGCTTTGTTTTCGGTTTTAAATAACAAATTTTCATCATGATTATTTTTTTGTGAAAACCATGACAAATCAAAAAAATGAAGGAGAATAAAAAAATAAAACAAACTACACTCTAGAAAATATTCAAAAAATAGAATATTACTAAATAGACTATATATTACTTTCCTGGTGATGCTGTGTCAAATTGATGATATTGCAGTCTTTCGATTCTATGTTAAATTCTTTAAATTAATGTACAAGTCTGCCAACCAAACTCCATTTCATCGCTTATAAAAATTCTTTTTAGCAAATCTAGCTTCGTCTTCATGATTAGCATATAATTAAATGACAATATTCAGAACTCATATTATACCAGAAACAAACAGTCACCCTTTACAATGGCATCTGAAAATTACATGTTGTCAAGGAGCTTTGATTTTACGCAACTGTTTGAGCTTTCTCTGAAATTACTTAATTTCTTATTACTGTCACAGATCTCACCAAGAATAGATATTCTTTAGGTCTACGAAAATTTCTTGTTTGCGAGAGTGTAATTGAACTTTACAATTCTAATTAATGTTTTGCAATTTTCGTAATTTTTCTTTATCTAATTGTTTTGATGTGAAATACGAAAGGATGTTAATTAATAACATATTTGTGCACGATTCACTATACTTTAGAGGTTGGAACCGGTTAATTTTAACCGGTTAATTAACCGGTTAAAATAGATGAATTTAAATCCGGCCGAAATTCATTTTCCGGTCAGAATTAAGATTTTTATGATTGCAAATTATTGTCTGACTCTGGTAAAATTTAAAGTACTAACCAAAGTTAATTTTAACTAATTAATTAACTTGTTAACAAATATTTAACCAATTATTAACTAGTTAAAGAATTTTCAGCTGGTTCTAACTTCTAAGTATAATTGACATCTGACATTAAAAATTCTATAAAATTATGCAAATAAAAATTTTAACCATTATTAGTAATACTGTATAAATTATTGTTTTATGTAATTTTAAAAATATAATAAAATCAAAAAAAAATTTGAGAATTAATACAATTATAAAAAGCTATTATTTAATGAATATTAAACTAATTAAAATAAAGATTTTTTATATATAGATTTAGATATTTAGAATATTCTTATTAGTCCAGAATGAAGTGAAGGACTATATATGTCTACACAAAGTGTCCCGATGTCCGCCCGCTCAACCTGTGAGTAGATGCCATGTGATTGGTTCCTACTGTTTCACAACGAATCATGAAATCGACAAAAATAGAAATACGACATACATGTATTTTAT